CGACCAGATATCCAGAGAAGGATCCAGGTGCGTCGCCACTGTGCACACACAGCCACCACCAGACCCTCAACAGTACAAACTGAACAACACACAGCTAGCTAGCTAGCTAGCCAGCTAGCTAGCCAGCTAGCTAGCTAGCTAGCTAGCTAGCTAGCTAGCTGGAGAGATCGTCAAACAGATACATCATATAGTCAACTATCTAACTTCCTTTTGCCCCCTCAAGAACACGGGAGGTAGCCGGCTAGCTAGCTAGCCAGCTAGACGTCCGACTAGCTAGCTAGCTAGCCAGCCAGAGAAGTAGCTGTTATGCTAGCTAGCTAGCTAGCTAGCTAGCTAGCACAAGGGTGCTGATGCAGGACGAACCTCCAGCCGCCAACTCCGGCGGCATGTAGCGCGGCGAGCCCGCGGGCTGCAGCGGCTCCTTAGGGAGGATGAGGCGCATAGAGGCGGTGAGGCTGCGGCTGCTGCTGCTGCTGCTGCTGCTGCTGCTGCTGCTGCTCGCTGCAGCACTGGGCACATCCGCCTCTGCTGCCAGCCCGAAGTCGCACAGCTTCGCGTTGCCAGCCCCATCCAGCTGCATGCAACGCAGCGCAGAACACAAGTACAACAAAATTCATAAATTTTATTTTTTTCATAAATTTTATTTTTATATAATTTAAATAAAAAAAAAAAACAAAAAAGCTCTGCTGCTGCTGCCCCCCGGCCCCGCTGCTGTTAGAGGGTACCTCCACCTGAAGGAATGCTGCTGCTGCTGCTACTGCTGCTGCTGCTGCTGCTGCTACTGCTGCTACTGCTGCTGCTACTACTGCTGCTGCTGCTGCTGCTGCTGCTGCTGCTGCTGCTGCTGCAGCAAGACTGCTGACCACAATGTTGAGGGACTTGATGTCTCTGTGCACAATGGGCGTTGGCCGGCAGTGCAGGTACTGCAGCGCCGCCACGAAGTGCAGAGCTATTGCCAGCCGCTGCCGCAGCAGCAGCGGAGCGCGCTGCTCGTGCAGCAGCCAGTACAGGCTGCCCCCTGTGTGCGCACACACGGCAGCAGCAGCAGCAGCAGCAACAGCAGCAACAGCAGCAGCAGCAGCAGCAGCAACACAAACTCTCTCAGCAACCTGAATATACCCCAACCCGAAGACAAGATGCAGCAGCAGCAAAACTTGTCGAAGCAAAAAAAAATTAGATGCAGATACACCCCATGAAAGCTGTACATA